TAAAAGTAGCTTTTATCTGTTCTATTTGATATTAGTAACCAATTTATCAATGTTGTCCTACTAGGAAATCTTCAGCTTGGGTAGTTCACCAACTGTGAAGAGTATATAATAGGTTCATTTACATCATAGTCCTAAGGTAGTACATTCTACTATTTATATATAACTTCTACTTTATAGTTAAGAACCATCACTGACCTGGATGTCTTTCATTACTAGTGCCAGTTGCCTTCCTTTTAGATCTATTTTTCACAAGGAGGCAAAGTTTTATCACTTAACGACAGTTATTACATTCATAGTGCTGTGTTAGCAACAAAGCAATGTTGAGATTCAAATGCTTAGTGGTCAGCTAGGCTCATGCATCAACTCATTGCCCCAACTTGGTTTACTCACATTTCAAGTTTACAAATTACTTCATGTTATACTATCAATATAGGTTTGTCTAAAAATAACTGAAATAATGAATGCCAACCTGTCAATATTTCCTACAAACATTGGAAGAGACACAGTATTAAAAAGTTTTAGAATTAAAAAAAAAAGACTGAAATAATATATAATATCTGCATTTTTATAGTTTCCCAATTATTTACAATAAGCATGAATTACTTTTGCAATGAGAAAAATAAATCTAATAAAAGCTATTTTTTTAAAATTAGCTTACGGGCCAGCCGAGTGGCTCAGCTGGTTAAGAGTGTGAGCTCTGAGTAACAAGGTCGCCAGTTCGATTCCCACATAGGCCAGTGAGCTGTGCCTGAGCTGAGCTGCTGCTGAGCTGCCAACAGGTGGCAGGATGGCTCAGCTTGTGAGAGCATGTGCTCCTAACAACAAGGTTGCCAGTTTGACTCCCACATGGGATGGTGGGCTACGCCAACCTGCAACTAACATTGAACATGGCACCTTGAGCTGAGCTGCCCTGAGCTGCTGATGCATGACTGGATAGCTCAGTGGTTAAAGCATGTGCTCTTGACAACAAGGTTTCCAGTTCAACACCCACATCGGATGGTGGGCTATGCACACCCGCAACTAAGATTGAACATGGCACCTTGAGCTGAGTGGCCACAAGCTGCCAATGGGCAGCCAGATGGCAACTGGACTTGGAGCTGAGCTAGCTGCGTCCTCCACAACTAAGATTAAAAGACAACAACTTGGCTGTTCCCCTTCCCCAATAAAATCTTTTTTTTTTTTTATTAGCTTAAGAAGACATTATAGGGCCAGCCGAGTGGCTCAGTTGGTTAAGAGTTGGCTTAAGAACGCGAGCTCTGAGCAACAGAGCCACCGGTTTGATTCCCACATGGGCCAGTGATGCTGCGCCCAAGCTGAGCTGTCACTAAGCTGCCAACAGGATGGCTCAGCTGGTGTAACAACAAGATTGCCTGTTCGATGGTGGGCTATGCCCACCCACAACAAGACTGAACTTGGTACCTTGAGCTGAGCTGCTGCCCTAATGGCTCAGTGGATAGAGCGTGTGCTCTTAACAACAAGGCTGCTGGTTCAACTCCTGCATGGGATGGTGGCTGTGCCCACCCACAACTAAGACTGAACTTGGCACCTTGAGCCGAGCTGCCACCCGGATGGCTCAGTGGATAGAGCGTGTGCTCTTAATAAGGCTGCCGGATTCGACTCCCGCATGGGATGGTGGCTACGCCCACACGCAGCTAAGATTGAACACAGCACCTTGAGCTTAGAGGCCACGAGCTGCCAACGGGAAGCCAGATGGCAACTGGCGCCCTCCACAACGAAGACTGAAGAACAACAATTCGGCTGGTCCCCTCCCCCAATTCCCCAATAAAATCATAAAAAAAAATTATATTGCTTCATTACTATTTTTATGAAAAAATAACAAATACTATCCACATAAAAGTAACAAAATTCAATATGAAAGATAATATAGGGCCGGCTAAGTGGCACATTGGTTAAGAGCTGGCTTGGGACGCCAGAGGGCCCCGGTTTGGATCCCACAAATGAGGGCCAGTGACACTGCCCTCTACAACTAAGATGCTGAACAACAGCTCAACTTGGAGCTGGGCTGCTGTGAGTCGCCGGCGACAGCATAGGCTACAACGACCGCTGCAGTGGGTTGCCATGGGCTACCGTGTGTAGCCAGCAGCCAGCGTGAGCAGCTAGCAGCCGCAGTGAGCGGCCGTCCAGAAGCTGGCGACTGATCGGCCTCGCCCGGGAAGAGCGCAATGATGATGGTGCCAACTTGGGCCAGTGAAGCAACATCCTCCACAACTAGACTGAGGAACAAAAGGACAGCAACTTGTCTGTTCCCTTTCCCCCAAGTCCCCAATTAAAAAAAAAAGATAATATACATTTGCTACAGATATCTAGATTAATGTTGCAACAGGTAGCAAAATCTAGCGTAATTCTTCAGACTTTTTGTTTTGGCTCAAGAAATCACAAAATGTCCGTTTGTCTACTTTTTACTTAATTTGCAATAAAATTGTGGTTATGTAAACTTCAGATGAGATTTTTTAAGTTGCTCAAAAGTTATTCTCAAATAGTCACCAGGTGAGTGTTATTTTATGGAAAGACAAAAAACCTTGGGTATTAGATGAGTCCCAAACCAAAAGCCCTCTGCCTTTCCTTATGGCCACCTGACTCAGGCTTATATTAATCCTGGCTTGTACTTTAGATGATAAAGGCAGTTAAGTTCTGAGAAATTCAGAAGATATATCTTATTTAGAAAATTGGCTGAACAACGTTAACCCCATTTATCTCCCCAAAACTGAATAATTCTGCACCAATCCTAATAAACGGAATCTTTCAGGTGTTAATACAAAGTCAATTTAGTAATCCTATATTAAAGAAAAGTTAAGGGAAAGTTACTGATATTTAAATAATCCTCTTAAATGAAGGAAACCTCAAGAAAAATTAATTGTAACAACTTTTGTTTTAATGGGCAAGTATAACTTTACATCACTGATATAAGAGTGCCCTAAATCCACTATAGGGTTGCCCTTAACCCAGAGAAAAGTTTACATACTATTAGCTTGCAGTAATTCCTTGGACTCACTGCAAGGGGAGCCTTGCGACACAGCATTCACATTCTCGTCTTGTTCAGGAGACATGGGTTCTTGTTTAATCTGAACCGATGAGTCTGGAGCAGGAACACTGCCATGGGCTTGGAAAGCAGGAGATGTGGTTACTTGCAGAGGGGCTCCGGTGGATGAGGGAGACACATGAGAAGATGGAGGCTCCAGGAAAACTGGGAGAAAGGGAGTAGGCTGCAGTGTGGCATCGGCTGATGTTTGAGATCTACTGCTCCTTGGTTCTCGTGCAAGGCTACTATAGGGAGCCTGGTATGCGCGCTCAGAAGGCTCATATGTTTCTAGAATGGGAAACACACATACATCCAAATGCAAAAATGTTATCTGAAAGTCACTTGTTTCTTAGCCAAGTTGTGTTTTTTAAAGCTTACAAGAGAATTTAAAGTCCTTCATAGTTCTTCAAAATAGATTGTCATCTAATCTATACAACCACCAAGAATAGGCATTAATATTCTAATTTTTCAGATTTTAAGTGACTTATCCAAAGTCATATAGATACTAATGGAACAGCCAAGATTTGAACCCAGGTCTTTTGATTCCTAACCTAAGACTCTTTCTGTAACATACTGTCTCCATTGGTAAGCACTTGGGGGATGCACGGTCTCACAGGCCTTTGTACAGAAGAACGAAGCCAAGGAGACATGAAAGCAATCATATGACCTTTTCATGGCTACTTTAATTCCCCTTTATAGAGAACAAAAAGTAACAAGCGACAGAGAACCCAATCCATCATATTCTCTCTAAATACCTTGTAATCCCTGTAGAATCTGTATTCTATGGGTCCTCAGTGCACTCATCTCCATAGTTATCTAAAAATAAAGTATTTTGTTAAGCATTTGGAAATCCAACTTGAGATGATCCATTTTCATTAAATGTTCCAGCTGCTGTTACCTGCTGCTTGAGCATAAGTAGCCTCTGAACTTCCACATAAGCTGTCTGAAGAGCTGCACGGGCTTGCAGAAGGCTGTTATCCATGCAATGCAGTGATTTGCTTAGTTCCTCCTCCCTTAAAGAAATACTCAGCAGCTGGTCAACCTGAGAACGCTCTGTCAAAAGAAACCATGAGGCTCAGTTTAATACTGGAGACTTCTCTTCAATAATACAGCTCCTCAGAAGATGGAACTACATCAATTATCTAGGATAAGCCTTTATTTTCTCCCCAATAGGTCATTGGAGGCTCATCCAATCTCACAAATCACGTAGTTAAGCCCGATGTAGTCAGAGATAGAAACCCAAAACAAGAATTGTTAAGATGGAGGTACCTCTGAAGTTCAAGTATATCACCACAAGTACCATCTTCCCTGATCACCTTCTTCCACCACTACTCTGCCAAGTGAAATCTTTGTCCCAGGTAAATCAACTATTGTCATTTTCTAATTTTTCCATTCTTCCTTTATCTACCAACCTCTTCACCCAAGGTTTATGCTTAGATTGGGCCCCAAACCTGGACTGCTTGCACTCTCCTCCCAATCCGTATTTTTCTAGTCAGCTAGTTAACACAAAATAGTTGTCTTTATTACAGAAGTCTTCCTGAAGGAGATACAACTTTGAAATAGTACATGTAAGTTACTTTAAATAAAATGTTCTGCTATGTGTATGTATTTGTCATCTTTATGTGCATCTCGTTCCCGTTCAATATGCCAAGACCTCTTTACTAAACTCCAGGCCCACATATCCAACTACCTAACTATCTCTAAGGTCCTTTAACTCAAGGGATCCAAAAGGGCACTCATCATCTTCCTCTACTCTCAACCTACTCCTCTCATGAAGTTTTCTAGTTCTACAAATGATACCATCATCAACACAGTTGCCCATCCAGAAATGGGGGTCATCCTTAATTCCTACCGTATCCATCACATCTCCTAAATCTTATCCAATCCCTTCCCACATTCGCCCTTACATTGGAACAGGGTTTGAGACAGTGAAAAGCAAGCATTGTAGCAGCATACCAGTCAGAGAGCCACATTAATAACGTGTCTCCTTAATTCACATGTGAAAAGCAACCAGATGCCTCAAAAAAGGAAAGTGAGAGAAATGGCTATAAATGATCAAGATGGATTAAACTTTTACTAAAGGCCTGTTCCTCTTCATCCCATTGAAAAGATCCAATAAGGCTTTCTGCTTTATATTGAACTCAATTTGTTCAAGATCTATATTAACTTTAGCTTACAGATCCATGTGGCATCATATATTTCTTCTATAGCTGCTACTGTAAATAGTAGGAAATCAAACTTTTCTATGCCTTTAAGCAAGACAACAAAAATGTAAAAAAATAATAAGTGGGTGATCAGTGTTTGATAACCACACGCTATATACTCTGCGTCAAGTTGTAAAATGGCTGAATTGCTATAAGAACAATTCTTTCTGCCAGAATATTCTCCACTATACCTTTCTTTCCTTTAATTTTCCTTCTTTTATTTTTTCTCTCAAGACTTGGGAGTTCAGGAGAAGATCCATCCTAGGAAATAAAGAAAGGGGAATAATATTAAATATGTAAAGGCCATTATCCAGGAGGGAACAAAAGAATCAGTTCTGAGATAGTCATACAATATTCTTCATTATTACTACCTCCTCTAACAGGATAGCAGAAGCCTAATGCACATGATATGCACTAAAATATTAGCTGAATGACTGTATATGATTTTTAAAAAAGCAATCTAAGGTCAGGTGCCTTCTTAGCATTCTAGAGGTGGTAAAGTCCACAGGGCATAGGCAAAGCATTTCAAATCTTAGCAAGGCATAGATAGACGTGTGGACAAAGCCAATGATACATATATCTGATTTCATCATGGCATAGTTTCTACTTTCAATTTCAGCAATAAAATCTTTACAACGAAAAGCTAAACAGTCTATTGAGACAAGCTCTAAGCTATTAGCTTTGTCATAAGACAACCTCTCATCCAACATATCCACTAGAGTGTCAAGCTCAAAGAGGGCAGAGGTGGAGTTTCAACCCAGGTCTAGAACCCATGCCCTCACCTACTCTGCTATACTGCCTCAGTATTAACCCTCTGTTGGGCGCAACTGATCTCACAGATTCATTGCACACAAAGATGCCGCTATGAAATACGTCTTTACTAAGTCACAAACACGACTGGGAATAGGTTATGGTAGAGGGGGAAGATTCGGAAGAGATGAGTCACAATACTTAACTGTTAGATATTTGAAAATTTTGTGTGCAATGACTCTGTGAGATCACTTGCACCCGACGCAGGGTTAAAGGAACACAGTCCCAGGGTTAAAGGAAACAGTCCATGTTCTCACAGTGCCAGGTTTCAGACTATATCATCACCAACCACAATTCTTTCTTTTCAGAAAGGGTTCCTAAACGGGTTAAGCAATATTAGCAACAGAGATGCCAGAGAGACGTGGTGTCAGTGAAGGAGTGGATTCTGAAAGGTCCGGGATGGGTAACAAGTACAAAGGCTAGAGTAACAGAGGCTACAAATACTTCTCAGACTATGCGCATACAGATTCACTCTATTAGCATTAAAACTACCTTAGTGTTAAGCCTACAACTCCTGGATCCAACAGGCACACATGCCCTACACAGGCGCACTGGAATGCCTTCCTTCAGTAGCAGTGCAGAATGCACCATGGAAACAGATCAAGTTACAGTTGAAGATGTGGCTTATTCCTTGTCAGGTGATAAAAAGAATCACTGGCTTGGTGACCAGTTTTAGTGATGACTTCATATTTTCCTAGTACTGTACATTCATATTCAATTACATCTAACTTAGCAGAGCTACTCAGGGAAAGAAACCAGTAGCAAAGAATAGGAAAATAAGAGTAAGAGCCTCACAAATCTTCCATTCCAGAGTAGAGAGAACCACAACCCCAAGACACCCAAGAAAAATTAAACAGTGAAATCTTTCTCATAACAGCCAAGTCACCACATGAAATGGTCTACAAAAGGCACAGGGCATCATACTCACTCCGGTGGCTCTTCGTTTCTTCCTAATGCTCTGGCCGTCATTTTGTTCAGCACCAGAGGTACAGCTACTATCTGTGGCTGCATCTGCCAAGCTGGAGATTGCAAGGGCTGAGCATGCATTGGATGATAAAGAGTTTCCTTCTCCATTACTCTCCTGGGCATTCTGATTCTCTGAAGGTTGTGCAGAGCTCTCCTGGCTATTCAGGTCTTTGGCCAAGTGCATCAGAGGTATTGTACAGTCAGAGGATAACTGTGCACTGTGTCGCCTTCGAGTAGAAACATTTTCAGCCCTTTCACCTGTTCCCAGGGAGGCAGCCAGAGGTGTCACTTCCTGCTTAAGGCTCAAGGTGGTTTTCTGACTCTGTGTGGCCCTCAGTGAGTTACTAGGTGCAAAAATCTGCTGGGGCTCATTTTCTTTGCCTGTGCCTTCCTCGCTGAAGAAGCTATACACAGAAGGAGTTCTGTCCATGATCACGCTGCTCTCAGACAGGCTTCGCTTCCTTGGCAACCCAGGGGAGGAAGAAATGGAAATACCTTCCCACTGGAATCCTTCTAGACTGGACAGATCGGGGTCCTCATCCAAATCCGAGACTTCTTGTTCATTCTGAACGAGAGGCACCATTTCTATGCCAAACCTTAAAAAAGAAAAAAAAAATCATAAATCAAACATGGTCGGGAAAGGGGAGCACCAGTTAATGTACCAGACTCTGTTCAGCAGTGAGATTACCAATATAAATAAGATGGTTTCTGCCCTCAAGGAGCTCCCAGTCTAAGACATAAAATAAGTAGCTACAAGTCTTGTAATGTAACAAGTACTAAATTAGAGATTTGTATATAGCTATCAGAATACATTTGAGGGAGTAAAAATTGAGGGTTGTATTTAAATATGAAGCTCGAAACCAACAAAAACAAAATGTTTATCAGCAAACAAACCAAAAAATAAATAAATAAAAATGTCTATTGAGCATTCCTAAGTGCCAGATACTATACTAAGAAGTTTATATTTATAATCTCAATAATACTCACAAGTTATGGGAAAGGAATAGGGGGCACAATAAATATATTATTTCAGTAAGGATAGAAATTTAAGCCTGGAAGGCTATACAATTATCATTATATACAGTAGGATGATTTTCAAGTAGCAAACCTATATTGAACACTGCTCTAGCATTCAGAAAAGTTTAGTATCTCAACATAAGATGAAGAGCCAAAAATTTACACAAGTACTTAAGGGAAAATATTTGTGTTCACAAATATAATGCCCAGGATAAATACAGAAGGGTAACTATCCACAGGTTCTAAGTAAAAGGTAATGAGAACAGAGTTATAGCTCACCACTCATTAAGATCTACAGATAGATACAGATTTATAGATTTTTGTTTTGTTTTTGTTTTGCTGTCACTGTCTGGCTCCTAAAACCAAAGTGCTGGCTTTCTAATGGTTTTTGTCTATGCCCCCAACTCATTTCTCAAAAGTAGGTAACATTTCTTTTAACCTGAATTTCCTGCTAGGAAACACTTTATTCCATTTATTATAGAGTAGCAGTCACTCTTTGATATTTAAACCAGACATCTACAACACATGTTTTTGGCAAACATTTAATTAAATGTAACAAGAATTCTCTTGACCAGGGTCAAAGGGTAGGTTTAAAAGAAGAGAGAGAGAAATGGATACTGAAAAGAGGCACACACCTGGGCAAGCCTTTGCCTAGCTCTTGCTTTTTCTTGGTTACTTGATGAATGACCTGTTCCCAGTTGACATTTCTCCTAGACGCATTTAGAATCTGCCGAAGGGTTGGCTTGAGCCCTGATTCCTTCTCTGCCTCATTCTTTCGATGACCACTAATATTGCGAATGCGGCGAGCACTGTTGAGGTTTGGCTCAGGGAGGTGTGCTCCAGTTTTGCTCTTCAAACTAATGTGGCGGGTGAGATCTCTTTGGAGAGAGGCAGGAAAGCCGAGCTTGCTTAGTTCAGGCAGGAGAAGGCCTGAGGGCTGTGTTATATCACTTTTTTGAAGCTCTGAGTCCAAGCTAGGACTCTCAAAGCCTTCTGTTTCATAAGACACGTGAGATTTAACAGGGTCATCAACCTGTACATCTTCTAGAGAGGTTTTCAGGTCTAGCAGTAAGCCAGTGTGTGGACTGGCTACAGATGACATTTGCAACTCAGGTTCTTCCTGGTGAACTGTTGAGTTACATGGGGAAGTGGATAGTTTTCTAGGTGTTTTCAGGTTTTGGTCATCTCCCTCTTTCTCATCAGCATTGTGAGTGCTACAGGATAAAACTCCTGTAGTTGCAGAACCCAGGGTTCCAATTTTTGTTCTACACTTTTCTGTGTCAGATATCTCTTCATCACTTTCATCTTCTAATGAGTGTGCTTGAAACTCAATCTTCAAAGTTCCTTTTTCAGACTCTTCTACATTCCTACTTGCTTTTGCATAGTTCCAGATCCTTTTAGAAGTGCTAAGAATTGGGTTTTGCAATGACTCATGACACTGTAGCATCTCCTTGGCTTTTTGTAATGTGTCCCTTAAATTTTCATCAGGTTCCCTCTGAGTACCCAATGAATTATTTTTATTCCCTTTTAAAACACGAGGACACGAACTTTGCAATTTGGACATGTAAGAAGAACCATGATGGTCTTCCACAGTGGGTTTGTTCAAGGGATTTGAGAGTTCTCCAGAAAAAAAAGAACTTACTTTGGTGTTTTTTGAGGGATTTTTTGAATCTTGCTTTTGAGGAATTGTTTTAGTGACTGGAATTGGAAGAAGTGGGGATTTTAAGGATGGCATCTTATTTAAGGTATGCCCTTGTTCAGGTTTTTCTGTAACAGGGCATTCTCTCACCGCCTCATAGGAAGTAGTGCAGTCAGAAGTGGCTTTGTGATTCAGAGATCCAGTATGTGTTTCTTTCTGTGTTTTCAGCACTGGGCAATTATTTGTCGCATCCATCTGGGGCTCTTGCATTCCTAGGGTTATTAAGGAAAAATCAAAGAGAGACTTATCTTTCACTTCTGACTTGGTACCAACGACTTCTTTCATTCCTGACTGTAAATCCAGAGTCTTCTGGGAAGGGTAAGGAGTCCAGCGGTGGAGCTTGTCTCTTGCCGCACTGCCATTCTTCCCACCGACTTTGGAAGCCATGCTGTCGGTTTGTTTAGTGGTTTGGCTTTCCAGCTGCTCAAAGTTGAAGTCAAGAAAGTCTTGTGAAGGGAATTTATCACTTGTAAATCCTTCAGAAGGACCTCTGTAGGTGGCAACTGCACCAACTTTGTCCTTATCTTTTCGCTGCCATTTATATCTGTCTTGGTTGTATTTCTTCGACTTAGATTTCTTGTTCCGTAGCGTAGTCTTGTCTTCCATCTGACAGTTAGAGTTTCTGTTTCTGCCTGGTTGAAACTTGTCTCCGGGGCTACTGTAATTCCAACTATTTGTACTACGTACACTGGATTTCCAGTCTCCGTTACTGCTGGTCATGTGCCAACTGGAAAAGCCACCTGTTCCTTCCGAATGCCAACTGGAATTCCTTCCTGTACCATTGTGATTCCAATCTACCATTCCATTATTTGAGTGCCAGCCACCTCCAGAGCTACTGTGGTTATGAAACCAAGTTGAGGAGCCACCTGCAACACCCTTGTGCCACCCGGAACAACTTCTGGGCCCACCACTATTCCTCAGAGAATGTGGAAAGCTGTTTTTCCTAGCATTATTAAAGCCATCTTTCTCCCATTTCCAGTCTCGCTGAGGAGGTCCCCGATGATGCCGCGCTGGCTGACTGTAGTTCTCTCTGTCTTGGTAAGGGATTCGGTCTTCTCGTCTCCTTTGGGGTCGCCTGTCATCAGACTTTACTTCTTGGCTGCTATTGGAAGGTTCGGCTTGTCTGGAAGAAAAAACAGTTTTTCATTAGTGATTTCAGGGAATTCTTATGCTTCTTTTAAAGGCATAACCCACCAAACCTCCCCTCAACCTCCCTCCCCTGCTACTTGGAATGTGTACTAGAGTTCGCTTTTATTTCTAATAGTGGTTGCTTTCATATCTTTAAATGATATAGTTAAAACTTGTATTTCACAATTTATTAAGAAATTAAATAATACTTTGTTTCTCCTATCACTCCAGAAATATTAAGTTGACATATTTATACTATCCTCTCTTTTCTGCTCCTGTTTTTCTTGGGATGTTCTGAGTTTTTGTCCCTCTCATTCAATTATTATTTTTATATTATGCAGCTTTTCGAAAATAAGACCAATTATAGTCTGCAGCTATGGTTCGTTATTGTAGTTAATACCATTTAAGTTCTGCTGCTCTTAATGATTTCTTCAGTTGTTGGTTCTTTCTTAAAAACCCAGTTTCTTAACCTATTTTAAATGGTAAGATTTTACTTTGCATAATCACTTTCATTAATAAACACTTCATCAAGGACACATTCAATGACTGTTAGTGGTGAACAAAAACTTTCATGTATAGTTCCTGGGCCTGAAGGGCTTACAACCTAGCTGAGGAAATAATTAAGGTCATAAACACGAGTAAAATAGCACATCGCAAATAAGCAGCAGCCACAATAAGTGCTATATGGAGCTTCGTGTGCTAGAGGTTTTTATAAGCTATAGCTGTATGAACTATTCTTGTTAGACAAGGAGCCCACAGAAATGTGAATAGATTTAAGTAAACATCACAAGAATAGGTATAAAACCACTGTCCTCTATAAGCTGCCTAGGGTATGCCTTAGCATATAGTAGGTGCTCAAAAAGTTGAATAATACTAGCTAAAATTTATTGAGTGCCTACTAATTATCAGGAATATTTAATGCTAAGCACTTTATATAGATTACCTCATTAAATTTTCACAACTCGAAAGCAAGTATTCTTATTATTCCTACTTTTTAGATGAGGAAACAAAGGATTAGAGAATACCACAAATTAGAGAATACTAGTAACTTGCCTAGAATACTACAGAAAGTGAATAGTGTGGCAGAGATTTGGACCTTGGCAGTCTTACTCTTAACCACTAGGCCTTGAGAGAATAAAAATCCCAAAATACAGTTTCTGTAGCTGGGTTCCCTCCTCTGAGCTTGACTTAAATCTTAAACACAGTACTGAATTTAATTGGCTTTAAAAGCTTCTAACATCTGTAAGATTTTAGACACAAACTGGAATTTCTTCCTTTTTCACAAGATGGAATTAAAAGTTAGTTTACCTAAAAGCTTAAATATCCACTTACATTATGAAATACAACCATTTCTGAACAGGAGAGCCTAGGTTCCCAAGTGACAAGCGTTATTACATACACTTGCAGGATATTGGTACCATCATTAGCCAAATTCCTGTTATCTTTTGTTTCTAAACACTATGCAACTTTTGACATCCAAGGAGATCACTGACTCACCTATACTAATGGGATCCAAAAATGAGAGGAGAATTGGGCAATTAATCAGTCACAAAGCAGAATTCCTAGATCATTATGAACTGGCTAAGACTGAGGGGGCAACAGCATGCAGCTAAACCCACAGCCCAAAAAGAACAATCTAAATAAAAAACCTTATAGAGGAAAAAATTTAAAACCTCATGAAGAAATAAGTAGATGACTTTATAAATAGGTCACCAAAAAGCATATCAGGATACTCAAAGAATAGTTAACTATGATATGAATGTCTAATTTACTGAGAAGCTCTTTTACCCTGACTTAATGTTTAATCATTTACACAGATAAGCTAATAATGGCACAAGAGTGAGTATAAGAGCAAAAATAGACGTTGGTCTCCCAGAGGTTCCAACATCCTAAAACAAGAGTAAACTACAGCCAGACTGAAAGTAGTTAGAATGTCATTTGAAGGACTAAGCAACTGAGGTTCCAACATCCTAAAACAAGAGTAAACTACAGCCAGACTGAAAGTAGTTAGAATGTCATTTGAAGGACTAAGCAACTGAACAATTTCAGTACCACGTTGCCACTGATACTGTAAGACTAAGAAAGTATCCTTCTTCGAGGACTGGTTCAAAAACCTTTTCACATAACACAAACTGCTTCCTTTTTCTATTCAAACCTCTAACTAAAAATGAAGTGCAGACCAGGTATAACTAGTATTCAAGAAGGATCTTTAAAATTTTATTTTAGAATTTGAAATGTTCCTCATCATGTCTTAAGACTTAAAAAATTACCCTACCTCATAAATGGCTCTCTCTCTAACTCATACCTGAAAAGTTCTGCTTCATTAATTAAAGTCTTTAGACCACAAATCAGTAAGGTTACAATACAACAAACAGCCTAATACCTGAATTATAGATGTAGGTATGAAATTATGTAGTACAAGGTGGAAAACTGACACAGCTGAAATGATCTTGACACTGTCAAATTTAAAATGTAAATGTACTCAATAAATATTTACTGAAGCACTTAATAATAAAGGGATAAATCAAACTTGGTAGAAGCACCATGTTAAGTCACATCAGGCAGAACATTTTTTCCTAGGGGATTCAATAAGAAATACTATATAAAATATTCAAATGAAGCCTATATATTAATACCTTTCCACTAGAAAATTTGGATGCCAAATAAAAACAATTTATTGGTATCCAAAAACTTTGGAACTACTAAAAACAGTCCTAAACATAGTTATCAATATGGTAAAATTTCAGATCTGTAGCAGCTATAGTTAGTTTTTATGTAGGGACAATACTGAGTTTTTTTGTTTGTGTTTTTAAGCAGATAGTACAGTAATTCAAAAAGCATTCCATTGCCCTTTCATGCAAAAAACAGCAACTTAAAGCTAAACTTTACAACTAAGATAAGGCTGAATGCTTATAGGCTGACAAGTATGCAAATAGAAAATGTATTCTCTTCTATATTCTGTTGCAGATAGGCTTTCAAAATCAAAATCATTACTCACCGACTTTGTTCTTTCCTTTGTTTTATTAATTGAATGAGTTCCTTGTCAAAATAATCTTCTTCCTCTTCTTCTCCCTTTCCATCATCTTCTCTTTCCTGGGCATCAACGTTATCTTTGTGCAACTGGCCAGAAATGTGCTTTGCATAGGCAGAAAGACCCACTTCTGTGACCCCGCACACTCGGCACTCATGACTACTGTCCCTAGGGAAAGAGGGAGATGAGGGACATTCAATTCTCCCCACTGGCATGGCACACTCACCAGATCTGTTCGAGTTTCCTCTGAAGGGCACTGCACGCTTTGGTACAGTGAGAAATTAGTGCTAATCAATTTTAATGCTCCTTTCATCACTTTTAATAAGTTTGTTCGTAAGTTACTTTTGAAAATGAATTTGAGATTCTTTTCCAGCAATCAAGAGGCAATACACTTCAGAATAATGTCGTTTAGGAGGAGAAATCTTCTTGAATTGCTGTACTTAAAATCTTGCCAGAGGAAACATGGTGAAAGGGGGAGGCAGAGCAGGGGGCTCAGAGCAAACAGAAGTTGCTCTGGAGCACACCCATGGTGCCAGCTGCACTCAGAAAGCCTGGTGACAGCACTTACATTTAATCTCTGGCTCAAGAACTTTCTCCCAGTGAAAGTTAAGGGGTGGAGAAAAGAGTCGGCAAGGCAGCCAATCCCAAGCGGGTAACTAAATCGGAACAACTGGAGCTCTGCCTGGAATGTGAAGATTCCGGACCCCGGGGCAAATGATCGGAGTCGTCTCAGCAAACTTTTTTGGTCTGGATGATACACGTGATCTACATTCTGCTTCAGAAGGGCTTATTTTAAAGGGAATGGAAAGCATTTCAGTTGTAGGAAGTCAACAGCTGTGCTAAGCAAATGGTTTTTCTCAAGTTTCAGAAAATGCTACAATTTAGAGAGAAGCAAAACCAGGTTCTTAAGAAAGTTTGGCACTTTTTTCTTTTACTTCACACACTTAATGGTAAATCTCACACTTGGCCAATTTAAGAAGCCAAAGTCCTGAATCAATGTCCAGAGCTGTAGTAGATGAATAATTTAACTGCTTTTTTAACTTCCTGAAATCCCTTGATTGGTTCAGCTGTCTGTGCAGTTGAGAAACATGTGAATACCATGGCCACTGGTGCAATGAATGGACAGTAATATCCATTCCATAATCCAAATTGGCTTAGCTCTGCATCATTTGTCTTGGGTTTATACCAGTGATATTTTTGCACTTTCTATAATATACTAAAAAATAAAAAATCAACTCAAAAAATATGCTGTCTTTGATCAGACACAGACACACACACTACTCCATCTTCCCCCTCGCCTGTATCTGTCAAGACATGGCAAAAAAAAAACACCCCACAATAACATGGCAGAATTTATATCAATTAAACAGAAAAGACCCTCAGAACTGAGCAGTTCATTTACTAGTTACAGATCACCTGAATATTTTTTTAAAAAAATTATTGACCAACAACTAAATTCCAGGCACCATGCTAAAAATATGGTTACTTTGTCTAGGGTGACAAAGTATAAACAAACAATGCCCCATAAATGAAAAAAAAACAAAAAACATTTTTTATTTTGTAAAGAATCATGAAAAACACCTCAAAAAAATGGGGAAAATTCATAGTTTTTTGGGCTTTATAACTTTGAATGCTCTGGATACAATATAGTCTTTAACATTAAGGTTTATTTTAATGAGTTCTGAACAGGTTCCCTGAAAATATCATTACCTGATTACCCAGAATACCAATATTCTAATTTCTTCTTATCCTCCAGGAACTTAAATACATTATTTTCACTGATAGTTTTCCACTGTACTTAACTACATTTGTATACTTAAAGAAGAACAATCCTTAACTTTCTCCAGGGATAGTCATACTCCTCTCAAGCAATTAACAGTATGGAAGCGCATTCAAAGAGAATGCTAGCTTATAACAGAAAATAAGCCTTTTCTCACAACACTGAAAGAAGTTAAAAACATATCAGTATAAATCTATCCCTAATGGGCAGCATCAGAAGGCTCTGAAAGCTGTAACTAACCTAGAATATATAATTTATACTATAATAAAAATTCAAGTCAACTGAATTTTCTGGTTAGAAAATCTTGGCTTTAACCTCTAAAACTATGGAAAATGTTTTAGTCCCCTTTTCTACCTAGAAACTTATAGAATGCTAAACTGTATATTGCAGTACCAGGAACATCATTCTAAAAGGTATTCTTAAATAAAATCCTTGCTTTTTTACCCATGCTTCTAAAATGCAGAGTATTTTTCTCATGTCCAAACCATCAAAATCCCTCTCTTTAAAGACATAACTGGAAGGCCACATTGACTTTTTAAAGTATTAAGGAATATAGACAGTATTTGACTCTGTTAAAAATAAACATCCATACTCATAAACCCACACACTTTGAAATGCCCAAAGCACAAGCATACGTTGGCTATGCAACAGACATTCAAACATAGATTTTAAAAACACTGTTGCTTTCCTTGTGAGAACAAATAGTAATCATAGTTCCAAAGTTATCTGATGGAAAAACACTTCAAGAGATCCTGTCCAGAAGGGTACAGGCAGTATAAAAGTTAACACTGAAAAGGATTTATCAAAAAACAGAAACCCCTGGGCAGGCCGAGTGGCATGTTGGTTAGGAGTTGGCTTGGGACACCAGCTCTGAGCAGCAGGGCTCCAGTTCGGATCCCACATGAGAGGGCCAGTGATGCTGCACCCTCTACAGCTAAGATGGTGAACAACAGCTCGACCTGGAGCTGGGCTGCCGTGAGTCACTGGCAACGGCGTAGGATGCAGTGGGGCTGGCTGTCAGCTGGCATGAGCTCTTGTGAGCCGCCGTCCAATGGCCAGCGAACAACTGCCTCACCTGGGAAGAGTGCAATGATAATACCAACATGGGCCAGTGAAGCGACATCCTCCACAACTAGACTGAAGAAC